TCCCAGGAAAGAAACGCAGCACTTGCACTCGGGTGCGGACCTAAACAGCTGGTTCGAGAGCATCTGAGCGCGCTTGGCTCAGTCCCCTTTCTAAGTGAACTGTTGAAGTGAGAAAGCCGCTCGACTCTGAATCGACCCGACTGCAGGGAGTGAACCAAACATGCTGTGTGTTTTGGGTTGCAGCATTTTTTTTTTTTTTGCAGACGCGAGCTTCTTCTTCCAGAGAGTAGATGTGATACACAAAATGTTTTAAACTAGTTATATTTTACGACGTCTACATTATCGAATCAGTACGAAAACATTTTAGATTCCAAACATTAGTTGTCCAGGACAAAATGAAACGTTACAGAAAAATGTTTGTGTGTCAGTAAAGAAAGCAGCAGATTCCATAAGAGACACTTTTCAGATAAAGACAGAATGAAGGCTGCTGGGTTTCGCCGCAGAAATAAGAAGCGAGTCGACAGTCAAAGTCTCCAGAAGAACTGCGGCTGCTTCTGCAAGACGCTCAGTAACACTTCCAGCTCGTTTCCTTATCAAACTGCACACACTGCACCTGAGACACTGTTTATTTTAAGCAAAGGGTCGTCACACCAGGGCCGTGGCTTGGTTTCATCAATTACTGTTTACTGCTCTTTATAGTATTTTTTTTTTTATGTAGAAACATGCATTAATTAATTTCATTATTTCTGAAGGCATCTTTGCTCTGCAGCATTTCTTTGCATGTGCCTAAGACTTCTGCACATATTTATATATATATATATATTTATATAAAATCATTAATTTAGCATCCATTGCCTGAGCAGTGAAAGAGTTTTACAAGGGCATTTTCAGCCCTACATTTCCCTCAGGCACCTTTTTTTTTTGCTTTTTTTGCTTTTTGGTTGGTTTAATTATGCTCAGTGTAAAACCAACCAAGCAGCAAACGAACCAACAGTGTCAATTCCTCTCTGATTCAGACTCAACAAACAGACTAATAGGTGTGAAAGAAAGAACTACAGAACTAACCTCGGCACTGATCTGATCCAGTTTGTGTACATTTCCACTTTTTTCCCGCGAATCTTAACACTGCACAGCTTTTGATATGAGCTTGTTTGTGCAAATTCAAATTAAACCAGCTGTCTAACTCGGAAGGCTTTAAGAAGTAGGTGTGGGAAACACCAGAGCGACTCGTCTCAGCCGCGTAATGAAGCAGTGTTTGTGTTCACCAGCAGTTTTCTCGTGGCAATAATCAAAGAGTTGAAAAACGGGGGCTGGGGGGGTTGGTTGGGGGAGTCCTGAAATGATATGTTCCCCTCATTTACCGGCGAACACATAGTGTTTGATCTCCAAGGAGACTGAAGCTCCGATAACACCACAGACTTTCTGTGAATTTCTATTTCTTCGTCTATCCCTTTTCTCTCCGTTCTCTCTCACCAAGGCAACTAGTTCTCATAAAGTTTGCACGTCTCCATCTCTTTTCTTTTTCTCTGTGTCTTCTCTCCAAGGAGATAAAAACATATCAGTCTATTCTCTCTTATCTTCCTCTCTGTTTTCTCCCCCTCCCCCCTCTTTTTCTTTCTTTTTCTCAAAAAAAAAACCTTAATTCCTTGTGAAACGTCCACATGTACCTTTCATATGTTCTCAGGAATGATGGTTTCTAGCTGCTATAAGGTAAGTAATAACAGGAATGGACATTTGTCCGTCCATACATGTCGCCTGGACTTTATCCAAACTTCAACTGTCCAGTTTCGGTGCCACTATAGATCCCTGTTCTTGGCTGACAGAAGTGGAACCCAATGTGGTCTTCTGCTGTTGTAGACCATCTGCCTCAAGCTTTGACGTCTCGTGCATTCTGATATGCTTTTCTGCTCACCACGGTTGTAAAGAGTGGTTATTTGAGTTAGCATAGCCTTCCGGTTAGCTCCATCCTCCTCTCAAGTCTCTCATAAGGCATTTCCGCCTGCAGAACTGTCTCTCACGTGAAAAATCCCAGGAGATCAGCGGTTTCTGAAATGTCTGATGTGCACGTTAACTGAAGCTCTTGACCTGTATCTGCGTGACTTTGCTGCCACACGATTGGCTGATTGGATAATTGTGTGAATGTACAGATGTACAGGCGATCTAATAAAGTGAGATGGTGAGTGTATGTGTACGACTGGCATTTTTTCTGACTTTAGTATTATAAGGTTCTCTATTGGTTAATGAAGAATAAATGAGAAAGAAAAAATGTATCATTTTTACAAATGTACGCTTTCCGTTCCTTTCAGAGGTGTGTGAGCTGCTAACTTGGGCATTTTTGGCATTAACTATTGACCTTCGCTCAGGATGAGACTGTTTTGGTGGATATTAATATATTTCTTTATTAACCAGACACGATACACTAAGAGAGTAAGACTGGCCTCTGCTTTTTTTGAATTATTTTGAAGATACTATTTAGCATTTAATTTTTTTTTTTCATAGCAATATTTCTTGCTCTTTCAGAGGTGTGTGAGCTGCTAAATTGTGCATGTTTGGAAGGTTTAGTCATTGAGAGTGACCTTCCCTGCAGACTCGACTCTAATGGCTCCTCTTGGATTACTGAAATAAAGCTCCGTTGCTTTAAAACCGACCCTGGCTTTTTTTTTTTTTTTCCAGGATTTAATTTTTGCTTCTTTAGGCAGACCCTGAATATCAGTCCTGAGAGTGTCAATGGGAATACACACACACACACACACACACACACACACACACACACACACAATGAGGTGGCAGTGACCTTGTAGCGCTACACTTATTGGCCATTTTATCACATCGACCTGCCATATAGGTGACTTTGTACTACTACACCGTTGAATTCTGGATTCTGATTGGTCAGAAGGTGTTGATTAATTTTCTAGAACAGCAGCTCTGACAGTAGTGCAGCTGCAAATCACAGGTTTATGTCAATGCACTCGTTCCTTATCATTACCTAATCCTTTCATTTCTAAAGTAACTTACACTTGTACTTGTAGCTACTGTAGCATAAGTGAGAACAGGAACTAACTTGTTTCATAGCTGTTCCAGAACATTAAATGTAATTAGAAATGGATAAAAATGTGTTGTTCTTTAATGAATAAAAAAAAATTGTACACATTGGCAAATTGCTGTGGGAAAAGAAGAATGAAACACTCCAAGGCATGCTGTTATTGGGAAATAATCAACTTCAGGTAACTCCGCTTCATCACGCCACCCTGTTGTTGATTATTTTCCAATAACAGCATGACACTGCGTGTTTCATGGTTGTCATATCATTAATAAATTACTTTATCTGCATGTGCTACAGTTTGTATCAACAGTTTGCCTTCTGCTTTAAGCTTTAACTGTTCCACAGCTGCTTGTAATTAACAAATTGTTTGTTTTGATGTGTGTGTGTGTGTGTGTGTGTGTGTGTGTGTGTGTGTGTGTGTGTTGGCACTGTGGTGATGAACCATGGCAAAGAGGTGCCACTGAGTTTGGATCCGAAAACAACCAAGTGCAAGTAAACAGCACAGTGTGAACTGTGTGTTTCCATAGCGATACACTTCAAGTGTGTGTGTGTGTGTGTGTGTGTGTGTCTGTGTCTGTGTGTGTCTGTGCGTGGGGGGGTTTGTTTGTCGGCCAAAGCACCATGTCTCAGAGGGCAAAGGTGAGAGCATCGTCCTCATTAGCCGTCTACGGCACCTTGAGTTAGCCGCTTAGCACCGTTAGAGCTTGTCAGTCGTTCCCTTAATGGGGTCATGTGACCAGCTTTTCACCTGCTTTTCACCTTCTCTCTCTCTCTCTCTCTCTCTCTCTCTC